CCTACTGGATCACCTTCCCATACCAGACTCACCTCCTGCCGCTCTCCTTGTTCAAGCTGTCTTCCCACCAGACTGAGCTATGTGACTTTCTCCAAACGCACTCCAAACCTTCCCTCTGCAGCCTTGGCTTCATTCCACTGGAAATGGACCTCCACACATATCTGCCACACGTATCTACTCCCTGTGGAATACTCAAACAGCCCATTCCATAAAACATCTTTCACGTCTTGGCAGAGAATTTCTTTGATCCCTTCTAATTGGGGTTATTCATAAATAGAATCCAATTCTGTGGGTGGAAGCTCTTTGGCGGGAAGGCAGTTCCCAATTCGGGGAAGGAGGATCTCAGTGGGGGGGCAGTCCCCCACACGGGGAAGGAGGGGCTCAGACAGTGGGGGGGGCAGCAGTCCCCCACACGGGGAGGAGGGTCTCAGACAGCGGGGTGGGGGGCAGCAGTCTATCAGGGGGTGAGACACTTCAGGAAGTCATTCACTGTCTACACCACAGACTTTTTGCAAACTAGAACTTCGTGCCCCTGGCGCGGCGGGTAAAGCCACGGCCTGTGCGGCCAGGCTGGCAGCCGCGGTCAGAGCGTGGGTTTGAGTCCCTGCTGCTCCACTCCGTTGCCAGTGCTCCCGGCTCCTGGGGCAGTGGGCAGCAGAGACTGCCCAAATGCTTGGGACCCTGCATCCACGTGGGAGACCCGGATGGAGAGGCTCCTGCTGCTCACCCCTGACAACCTCCCCCTCTACTCTGTCGGGTGCCCTCTGCACCCCGATCTTCAAGCAGCTTCGAGGAGCCCTACTTCAGCAGGGACACCTTGGCCCTGTCGTCAAATCAACAGCCCCACCCTCCGCCAACTCTGTCTCCTGAGGTTGAATCACTCCCTTCTTAGCGCTTTGCGCTCTTCTTCACCGTCACTCTCCCCTGCCGGGAAGCCCCGTCCAGAGGCCAGGCACGTATGTAGCGTCTCTGGCACCAGGGGACGGATGCCTGAAGGCAGAGGCATTGTCCTCCTGCCACAGGAGGACAGGACGCAGGGATGTCCCTTCCTGTGGCCCACGGTCAGCACAGCCCTCCCCAGAGCCGGGCCAAAGGTTCCTCCCTCCTCCTAGGTCCGTGACCTTGGGTCTGCTGGCCAGGGCAGGTGAGCATCAGCTCAAACCCTGGTGGTCTTGCCCCTACTGCAGCTACTCCCAGGGGTCCATCCACTTCTCCAAGGCTCTTAGGAGAAGTGGTCACTGTCCCCATTTAGCAGGTGCAGAAGCTAAGGCCTGGAGAGATGGGCGACCTGCCCCGGAGTCACCAGTGGACAAGCAGGGGACCAACACCTGAGCTTTGGGACACTACTCCTGGGCCATAGGCCTGGGCGGCTCAGTGGCAGTCTGGGCAGCAGGGCTGTCCCCACCTCCTGGGGGACAGGGAAGACCCCAAAGCCCGTTTCAGGAATCCCCCTGGAGTGGAGCAACGTCAAGTGGAGTGGTCATGTCAAGTAAAGTCCAGCACGGCTGGTCAGGGGAGGTCTCAGGAGGTCCCCTGAGTGACTGTGCCCTTGGCACCCCAGCCAGGGCGAGGGGCTGCTGTCCCAAGCATGCCAGAGTGAAGGGGGAGAGGGAGGGGGCCTCCAGCCCACGCACCACAGAACGGAGAGCACTGGGCTCCCACCGCCTCCTGAGCAGACCCAGCCCAGCCCGCTCTGGCTCCAGCTCGTGGGTCAGGCCCGGCTTGTTGAAACTGATACCCAGAAACCAGATGCTGAGGGTGATGAATAATGGAGTCTCCAAGGCAGGACCCCCACTCCTGGCCCTCTGTTCCCCCACCACCACCAGCACCACCTCCCCGCTCCGCAAGGGCATCCCTGCCCAACGACAGGCTGGCAACCCAGCCGGGTGGGAACTCCGTGTCCAGGAGAGGCCACGGGTCTGGGGCAAGATCTGGAGCCGGCAGCAGACCGGCCTGGAAGCAGAAGTCAGGGCCCCTGGCTGGAGGGCCACGGCTGCCCAGAGCGTCTCCGTTGCGGCCGAACTCGCCGCTGAGCCTGCCGGCCCCAGGGCCACACCTGCCACCCTGGAAACCGAGGGAGGAGGCTGCAAGCGTGGGCAGGCCGGCCAGGGCGGGGCATCTCCACCAGGCTGCTCCCCTCACTGCAAACACTGCCCTGGCCCCTCCCTTCCCCGGGCCAGGCCTCGCCCTGCGCCCTGCTGGTTCCGAGGCCTTCTTGGAGGCAGAGCCCATCCTGAGCCCTGCTCTGTGCCAGGCAGATGGCGGGGGGGGGGGGGGGGCCTGAGATGCAAGAAGGCGAAGGAATGGGGGAGGGGCTGCCTCCTGCCCGGCTCCTGCACCAAGACAGCACCCCTGGAGCCTGCATCTTTGGACCTTCCTTAACATTTTTTTTTAAAGAGATTCACTTATTTGAAGGGTAGAACGCCACAGAGAGGGAGCTACAAAGCAAAGAGAGAGGTGAGGTCTTCCACTTGCTGGTTCCCTCCCCAGATGGCCGTGATGGCAAAAGCAGGGGCAGGCCTGAATCAGGAGCCGGGAGCTCCATCCAGGTCTCCCACAAGGGAGGCACCTGAGCCGTCACCCACCGCCTCCCCAGGAGCATTAGCAGGGCGCTGGACTGCAGGCACAGCAGCTGACACACATGCCCGTGTTGCAGGGCGGATTAGCCTGCTGCGCCACATGAGCCCTGGCCCCTGACACCATGGCACTGGAGCACCTGGTCCCCAGGGCCACAGAGAAGGCTCCGTGGGAGGGAATGAGGGAGGAGGTTCTTGGGCCCACCTACCCCTGCCCTTCACCCACTGGGCCTGGTCTCCCGTCGGTGCAGATACAGAGCTGGCCAGTTCTCTAGAATGAACCACCTAGAGATGGCTGCTAGGTTCCAGGGTGTGCCTTGACCCTGGCCAAGAGCAGGAAGAGCAACAGCCCCCAGGCCTCCCAGGCTGAGGACGGCTGAGGCATCTGGAAGGCCAGCGATCCCCTGGCCGCTCCCTCATCTTTCACCAAGGTAGGTCAGGGTGACACAGGAGCTTGAGCCACAGCTGGGGACGCCGACACTCCGTATCAGAGTCCTGGCTCCAGTGCCAGGTACTGTGCCTCCAACCCAGCTCCCTGCTAATGCACCTGGGAAGGCAGCAAATGACGGTTCAAGTACTGGAGTCCCCACCACCCACATGGGAGACCACATGGAGCTCCAGGCTCCTAGCTCAGGCCTGGCCCAGCCCTGGGTGTTACAGGTGTTTGCGGAGTGAACCAAATGATGGAAGATGGATCTCTCTCTCTCCCCATCACTCTGCCTTTGAAATACACACACACACACACACACACACGGGCTAGTGCTGTGGCATAGCAGGTAAAGCCGCTGCCTGCAGTGCCAGCTTCCCATATGGGCACCAGTTCGAGTCCTGGCTGCTCCACTTCCGATCCAGCTCTCTGCTATGGCCTGGGAAAGTAGTAGAAGATGGCCCAGGTCCTTGGGCCCTGACATCTGCATGGGAGACTCGGAAGAAGTTCCTGGCTCCTGGCTTTGGATCAGCCCATCTCCGGCCATTGCAGCCACTTGGGGAGTGAACCAGTGGATGGAAGACCTCTCTCTCTCTCTCTGCCTCTCCTCTCTCTAACTCTGACTTTCAAATAAATAAATCTTTAAAAATATACATATAAAACTTTAAAAAATAATAATAATCACTCAGGGCTGCCCTCCCCCGACTCCAAGCAATGCCTGATTCTACAGACTGCCCTCTTGTGCCCCCTGCTGGCCTTGAGCGGACTCTTCAGCCTGGAACCAACTGGGGACTCCCAGATAGGGCAGGGCCAGGGGAGCCTCCAGACCACCCCAAGTGCCAAGGCCCCTCCAGGATCCCCCCCCCACCAACAGCCTCCACAACCATTTCTCCCAGAATCTCCATTCTAGTCACCGGGGAGGGTGGGTGCCTGAGCCCATTCAGTAAACAGAGGCAGAGCAGTTGGTGACCCTTAGTACCCTCCACAGGCCTAGGACCTCATGGGGCCCTCGACTCTGCATCCTGCCCATTAATTTGGCAGGGAGGAGTATGGTGCCCAGCCCCAGCTCCCCAGGAAGCTCACCTAGGGGCATGGGCCTCCTCTCCTGTGGCTGCCTCTCCCGTGGCTGGGGCTTGGGTCCAGACTATCAAAGCTCCAGGGGACTCCTGGGGGGCCAGAGCCACAAGGCGGGCTTGGTTGATGGTGTCTGTTGGGGTGCAGGATGTAGGGGAATTACGGTAGGCTGCTTGGCCGGGCCAGGGACCACCAACCACCTGGCTGGAATGGGGGAGCATAGGGGTTTCGGGGGTCCCTGTGAGGAGAGGGTGGGGAGTGTCACCGTACCCAAGAGGGTCAGGCCTTTGCAGATTCCTGGGAAGTTCAAAGCCCCCATCATTAGCCTGGGCACAGGAGGCCACCCTGGCCAGCGAGAGGAGCCCCAGGCCAGGCTGACTTCCGCTCCGTGATGAATAGCTGGACTCGGAGCTGAGCCCCTGTGTGGTGCCCCAGAGAGCTCCCTCCCTTCTGTGTCCCCCGTTTCAGGCCCCCACCTGGCAAGGTGGAACGAAGGGGCGGGTCCCACACGGCCGATTCTCAGCTCCCTTCCCCCAGAAGTGGAGTTCAGCGTCTCTGTGCTCAGGATCAGGATCAGGGGAGGGCGCGGGGCACAGGGCACCACAGAGCAGGCCCCCAGCACACCTGTCCTCCTCCTGACCCTCCCAGCCCAGAGAGGGGGTGGGGCTGGCCTTCTGTCCAGGCCTCCCAGGGCCTCCCCAGCCCCTCCTGCAGGAGCGGCCCCTGGCAGCACTGACTCCTGGGCCCACACGAGGGCAGCTCCTCTCCGCGCCCCAGGCTTTCACTGCACCCACAAAACACAGCGCCGAAGCCCAGAGGCCCACCTGCCCTGCCCAACACCCCCTGGCCACAGCTGATCGCCATCTTCAAGGGGCCGTCACCTCCACAGACCCCCCAAATCCAGCCATTCCCCTGCCTCGTACCCCCAAAGCGTGAGTCCCTCTCCCGTGAGTCACCGCATCCTGTCCATTCTTCCTGCACAGGGATCTCAGGCCCACCCCTTCCTCCACGCTGGGTCCCGCTGGTCCTGGTCTGGCCCCCACCCGCAGACACCCAGCCCTGACTCATCCCTGCCACCTCAGAGGCCATTGTTAAGTCTGAAGGGAGATGTGAGTTCATCAGCTCCAACCTCCGTGCTTGGATGCTCCCAGGGACCGGGACCCCAGCACCTCCGCACCGGAGCGATGGCCACAGCTCGGGAAGCTCTTTCCCCTATGGGCTGAAAACTCACCCCAGGGTCCTCCTGAGGGCCTCAGAAGTGGGAGGCTCTGGGGACAGGCAGACTCGGTTAGGGCCCAGAGCTGCCTTGGCAAGTCCTATGGGAGGTCCCCATCGCAGGGGTGGGATCCGGCTGAGACCTGCTCCAGTAGGTGGAGGCTGCTGGGACGTCACCTCAGTTCCGGGTCCTGCCCTGGCTGTGCCCCGAAAGCCCTATGTGCAGGATACACACCCCAGGGTTTGTCTCCTGCAGTGTGGTGGCCAGGGGCTGGCACTGTGGTGTAGCAGGTTAAGCCATCCTGTGACGCTGGCATCCCCGGCAGCTCCACTTCTGACCCAGCTCCCTGCTAAAGCGCCTGGAAAAGCAGTGGGTGGTGGCCCAAGTCCTTGGGCCCCTGCACCCGCGTGGGAGAGCTGGATAGCGCTCCTGGTCGCTGGCTTCAGCCTGATCCAGACCCACCCATTGCAGTCACTGGTGGAGTACGCTAGTGCATTGACGATCGATCTCTCTCTCCTTTTTCCTTTTTCAAATATTTACTTATTTATTTGAAAGGAAGAGCTATAGAGAGAGAGGGAAAGGCAGAGAGAGAAGTCCCCCACTGGCTGGATCACTCCCCAAATGGCTGCAATGGCCAGCGCTAGGCCAAGCTGAAGCCAGGAGCCAAGAGCTTCATCCCAGTCTCCCACGTGGGTGCGGGGGCCCAAGCATTTGGGACATCCTCCACTGCTTTCCCAGGCACATTAGCAGGGAGCTGGATTGAAAGTGGAGCAGCTGGGACTCTAACTGGTGCCTACAGGGGATGCCAGCACAGCAGGCGGCAGCTTAACCTGCTGTGCTACAGCGCCAGCCCCTCTCACTTTGCCTGTCAAATAAATATTTTTTTTTTCACATGTGGTGCCCATGGTCTCCTAGGATCCAGCATCAGCCTTCCTCCGTGTCCCCTGATGACCTGGGGTGCCTTGAGCAGACTTCGCCGAGAGTGCCTGGGCACGGAAGCCCAGGCAGAGTCCTGTGGGACACCCACAAACCATCCCTGGCCTCGGTCTCACCCTCTGGGGAGGAAGGGCGTAACCGGGTGAACTCCAGGGGCAAGAGGCAGGGGCGGGGTGGCTGATTCATCTCCCAAGCCCCAGCCCCCAAGCAGAGCCTCAAACAAAACCTCCAGGGTGGGCCCAGAAGTGGACGGCCCAGCCCTTCCCCTGGGCAGCCCGGGCGCCCAGCGTGGCCAGCACCCTCCCTTCCCTTCCCCCTCCTTCCAGCAGAGCAGACCTCCCCCTGGGGGTTCCCTGGAGATCCACAGCACCACCGACGCTCGGGGCCGAGTGAACGAATGCATGAAGTCGCCTTCACCTGGTGAATGAATGAATGACCGACGTCACTGCTTCAAAACACCACTCACAGGCTAGAGAGCAACAAGGGACGTTTGAGCACAATGACGCATGCCTTCGTCCATCAGAATGGCCGTTAGCAGAAAGCAAGGTAACAAACGCTGGTGAGGAGGTGGGCATCTAAATTAGTGCAGCCACTGTGGAAACAGCGTGGAGCTGGCCCACAATCTAGAAACAGGACCACGTCCACGCCAAACACGAAATCAGTGTAGCAAAGAGACACCTGCTTCTCTCTCGCAGACAAAAAACCTTGCACAAAATAAACAAGACACTGCTCCAGCAGTATTTACTGCAGTGCAACCGCCGAGATGCGGAATCAACCAAGGACGGGTAAAGCAGCCGGCGGTACACACACGGAATACCACTCGGCCCTAAACCGATGAATCCTACCATCTGCGGCGGAACGGATGGAACGGAGAACACCCGTCTCCTACGAGGAGGAAGTCGGGCACAGCGAGAAAAATACCACATGTTCTCCGCGTTCGTGGGAGCCAAACAAAAACTTCCATCTGAACACAGAACTCCTGACTCCCAGAGCCAGGGAGGCTGGAGGGAGTTCGGGAGAAAACTGGGGGCAGCTGGGCGTGGCCTACAGATTTCGATGCTAACAACTGAAGAAGTTGGCCGGCAGTGGGGTGCATGGGAGCACTATACAACTTCACAGCTTCTGCTCGGTAAACTTAAAACTATTCTGACGTAAAAAGCTAATTGGGGGCCGGTGCTGCAGATCAATAGGCTAATCCTCCGCCTGCGGCGCTGGCACACCGGGTTCTAGTCCCGGTCGAGGCGCCGGAGTCTGTCCCGGTTGCCCCTCTTCCAGGCCAGCTCTCTGCTGTGGCCCGGGAGTGCAGTGGAGGATGGCCCAGGTGCTTGGGCCCTGCACCCCATGGGAGACCAGGAGAAGCACCTGGCTCCTGGCTTCGGATCAGCGTGATGCACCGGCCACAGCACGCCGGCCGCGGCAGCCATTGGAGGGTGAACCAACAGTAAAGGAAGACCTTTCTCTCTGTCTCTCTCTCACACTGTCCACTCTGCCTGTCAAAAAAAAAAAAAAAAAAAAAAGCTAATTGGGGCCAGCTCTGTGGCATAATAGGTTAAGCCTCTGCCTGGGGCACCAGCATCCCACATGGGTGCTGGTTCGAGCCCCGGAGGCTCCATTTCCGATCCAGCTCCCTGCTAATGGCCTGGGAATGCGGTAGAAGACGGCCCAAGAGCTTGGGCTCCTGCACCCACGTGGGAGACCCGGAAGAAGCTCCTGGCCTCGGATGGGCCCAGCTCCGGCCGTTGCAGCCACCTGGGGAGTGACCCAGCAGATGGAGACCTCTCAGTCTCTACCTCTCCCTCTCTCTCTGTCACTCTGCCTCTCAAATAAAATAAATCTTAGACAAAAGAACGGAGTTTTCCCCCAGACAAGCCTTGCTCAGGCCAGCTGCCAGTCATGCTGTGTGACGTGGGCAGCTTCCTTCCACGTCGCGTGGTCACAAGGGTTCCTTGAGACCCCGCCTGGCCCACAAACATGTTTAGTCCTAACAGTTACTATTATCATCATCAACAACGACGATCTCGGCTCCCCTCCCTCACCTCCTCCTGCCCCTGCACATTTCCGTCTGTGGCAGTTCCCCTGTCCTGGGTCACCCTTGGTTCACATCCCTCAAAGGCCACTTCCTCCAGGACGTCCTCCACGACTGACCCTCCCACCTCTGATCACTCAGCCACTTCTGTCCCTGTGGCAAGCCCAGGCCACTTGTGCCAAAGACGCTCCCCCTGCAGGCTGGGCGACGCTCTGGTCATTGGTCCCAGGCAGGCTGGCGCAGCGCTGCAGTGAGGGTCTGGGGGCTGCAGCGGGCCTACACTTGCCCTGAGATCAGCTCTTTTCTCAGGGGTGCACCTCTAATCGGTCTGGGCCCCCCACTCCTGCCCCTGCCTGCAGCTGTCCAGACGGGCTCCCCAGAACACTGTGCTCGGCCCTTGTGTCACCCCTTCAGGTCCAGCAGACACCCTAGGGTGTGCAGACCCCCCTTGGCAGGATGTGGGATTGGGGGTCGAGGCCGTTCTGTCGCCAGGGGCCCCCCTGTAGAGGGACGGCAACCAGCCAGCACCAGAGTCCCACGCCAGGCACCATCCCTGCCGCCAGATTGTATCTGACATCACAGCCACCCCCTCACCCGGTGACCACGGCAACTGGGCCCGCCTCCCCTCCCGCCCCCAGAACATCTTCCCCGTCCCTCCTCACCACGTCCCCCCGTCCCCCCCGTGGGGATGAATGTGCCAGTGTCTGGGAAGGGGGCGGGGGAGCTGGGGGTGGGAGGGTGGCATTTCAAGTTCCCCGCGGGCCTGAACCACACAGCTGTTAGGGACACAGGTTCTGGTACCGCACACGCCTGGGTCCTGGGTTCAATCCCCAGAGCCCCCACTTTCTGGCCATGTGTCCCTGGGTGGGCCTCAACGGCCCCACACACGAGTGGGAGTAAGAACAGGACGCTCCCGGGCCTAGCAAGGTTATTGCAGCTGTCTGTCGCTCAAACGCGTGCTGGGAGGGGCCAAAGCTGGGTCCGAGCGGTGGCCTTCATGAGCTGAGGGCCCCGGCCAGGTCACAGTCGGACCCCGCGGAACCTCGGTATCATCATCCAGCGACGCCTTCCCCGCACACAGCACAGGGGGTGCGAGGCGCGCGGCCGGTGCATCACTGGCAGAAGCGCCTGATCTATCGGCCTGGGCCCTGGCACTCCTGGACTGACCAGCCCTTCTCCCCTTTGCCCTTCCACAGCCACAGCGACACTCAAAAAGCCCCCAACTGTCCCAGACCCCTACGCAGGCCTGGAGAGCGGCCGGCTGCCGCAGCACGGTGCCAGCTGGGACCAGTTCCCCTTCTGCGCCTCGGCGGCTTCATCTGGGACACGGGGGTCACAGCTCCAGGCCCCTCGCGGACACTGCAAGGGCCCCAGCACAACCAAAGGCTCCTCCCCCAGTTCCCGCAGAAGCCCCCACCCCAGCCAACGGCAGCCTCTCTGCGCCCCCCCCCCCCACCGTGGTCCTACCCACCCCTGAACACGGGGGACACTGCGGCCACCCGGTCAGCTGCACCCTCCAGGACTCAGGCACATCAGGACCCGGACAGAGTGCAGCGGAACCCGGTCCCGCCGGCGCCCAGGGGCCCAGGCCCTCCGGCCTCCCTACCTTGGCCGCCCGCCCCTCGTCCATGCAGGCGGGGTTCTGGCAGAGCAGCCGCTTCTCGGCCGGGCTCGGGTCGTCTGCAGAGGAGAGGCAGAGAGATGGTCAGGCGGAGGCGTGGGCTCCCCAGGGCCCCGGTGGCCTCCTGGTCGCCTCAAAGCTCCCTTCAGAGGAGGTCAGTGTCCCTTCTCTTTCAAATGCCCACTTATCTAAGCAGGCATCTGTCAGCAGAGCCCGGCTCGCGCTGCAGTTCCCCAGGGAAATTATCCGGATTCCACCGGGAGAAAACATCTTTGAAGTAAGCTGCGCGCCCTCTCTCTGTCCCACTCGCGGCGGTGGGGGGCGGCTCAGCGACCTTGTGGGGCCCCGGGTTTCCTGGGAGACCCCGGCAGGGCTGCTGCGGGGAGGGGGTCTCCAGGGGTTCCAGATCGCCTCCCAGCCCCGCCCTCCACATCACTCTTCAGGGACAGGAGCCCCTCAAGGCCCGAGTGACCCCCCTTTCCCTATTGTCTGTCTCGGACCCTGAATCTTACCCCCTCCCCCAAGCTGCCTCTCTTGGCCGGGAGCTGGGGGCACAGCAGGGGAGGGGGCACAGACGCTGCCCCGGCCCAGCCGGCAGGATGCAGGGGGAAGGAGAAGCGAGGCGACCTGGCGGCAGAGTTTGGGTCCCCGCGGCCCCGCGCCCAGGCCGGCATCCACCGCCGCCCCGCGCAGGCCCTCCCCCGGGCGGCCGAGGCCCCGCCCGCCGCGCAAAGGCGCCGCCCGGCCCCCCGCGGCCCCCCGCGCCCGCGCGGCGCCCCTCCCCGGCCCGCCGAGGCGCCTGCACGCGGGGCCGCCGAGCGCCCCGCGCCCGCACTCACCCATGGAGGAGGCGCCGGCCGCGGGCGCGCGGGAGGCCGGGCCGGGCCGGGCCGG